AAAAAAAAGGAACACTACAAAAAACAACAGAACAACCCATTCCTTCAAAGTGGCCAGAGTTCGTCAAGAGAATAACGGACACAAAGGAGCCAAAGAACTTAATTTATTGGCTCGAATTAAACAATAAATCGAGATAAAGGCAGATGTACAGAAACTACGAACTTGCAGAGATTCCAGTCTACAACTGCATCGTTATAGAAGGGTTATTTCATTCACGCCCCTTTCCGCACCCCATCCTCCCCTCTTTCCCAGACATCATGATCTCTGCTGCATTCGGCGTATTCTGTAAACATTGCCGGCCGTCTGCTTACAACACAGGGCCCTGCCTGTACTAGGAAGGGAGATAACCAGCTCTATCACAGGATCACAGGCACCTGAAGGAAAGAAAAAGATGAAGGAAAAAAAGGAAAAAAGGAAAAAAAAAACCTCACCAAAAACAAAAACACCTCCCACCAGAAAGAAAAATAATAATTTAAAACAGTTCCTGGGGAAAATTTCGGAGAGGCTTTCATCTCCGAACTTACCTAAATTAGGCCTGTTTATGAACTCAATTAGAACTCTTGCTTGCTCCAGCATTCAAAGAAGTACACATGTGTTCGCCTTTTTCTGTTGCTCCTGACTTCTCAAAGGTTATTATCTTTCTTGTTCTTGGAGTTTACAAAAAAAATAACAACCTTACATAACCCGGTGCCCTCAAGGGAACCATTGGATCAATGGGTGTCATGGTGGGATGTGGCACAAGGAAGAAAGAGTCTCCAGCGGACACTCTGAAATGGTTTCATTAATATGTTATATTTGTTCGTTTTCCTTTTTTCGGGAAAAAGAAGGTGTGATTAGGAAGGGGGGGGGGGGCAGGAAAACTTATCCCAACACTGATATTATTCATCTCCCGTTTCTAAATCGTTCTGACCGGTATTGTTTACGAAATTAATCTGTCACACTTATCATTTTTCGCCATTCTTGGGAATATTTCGTCCCAGCCTGATGTTCTTACGGTTGACTAAATGTTCCGCTTTTGAGATGACCTAAATGGCCCGGATAAGGCGTTGCATTTCAATGTCAATTGTATTTAAGTTGGTGATGAAATATGTGCGACAGTCCACCACTGTGACTATTCTGACAGGCGTCTCTGGTGTAATGGTAAAAGACCCTTCGCCATCCACAATGTTCACGAAATGTTGTCGGCTTGCTATTAAGATATAATCAGCCCAAACTTAACATTATTTTCTCTCTGTTGCGGTTTTTTAATCTGTGGTATCGGTTGCAAGTGCTGAATTTTTTTTGGACGAAATTCACATTCTCAATGAAAAAACAAACAAACAAAAGAACAAACTATACAAATCCAACAAAACACAACACAATGTAGGTACATGTACAATTGTTGAAAGAATGGATTTTTTTTTCTTTCTCTCTCGTAAAATAATTTTGTTTTCTGGGCCTAACAGAAGTAAACAGCTTACCAACGATGTGTGAGTTCTGTTATCACTAAGTGGAAAAGTTTTTATTTTTCTTAATTAGCTTTTTATTTTCAGTTTGGTAGGAATTAATTTTAATTTTTTTTCGGGTGGCGGCCGCAGCCCATTCTTATTGATTTTTGGACCACCAAAGGATCATTTTAACGCGAGCAATTTGCACACGGGACCTCCGAGATTTTTGCCTCATTATCCGAGAAGGCTGGGTGTTAGATCTACCATAAGTTCAGGGGTGTGGCTGAAAGACAGCAGTAAGAAAGAACCAAGGAGTAGCAGTAGAAAAGATGCAGAAGGAGTCAGGAGCCCAAAGGAGAGCGCAGAAAGTGGAGACAAACAAACGACAGAACATGGTTCGAGTTAGAGAGCAGGAAAGGCGGTGAAAGGAGAACATTTAGAGAAGAAAATATTTGGTCACTGTCAGGTTTCGAACCTGGGACCTATTGAATGAGAGGCAAACACTGTACCTCTAGACCACGAGAGCCCCTCGGAAAAGTGTTGAATTCTTTCGAATGTGTGGCCCACTGAGCTTTGGTTTATATTGACACGTAGGGTCGAAGCAGCTCGCTTCCTAGATTATCTAGATTGTGTCGATAGGGTGTAAACATTTAAAATAAGATTGGCTGTATTAATTAGTCGAATATGTCGTACTTAAGTATATTATAAAAGTTGAATAATATTCGCAAAAAATGTTCTAATAGAAGAAGTAGGGCCTACAACTAAGGCTTGACCATTATTGAGCCCATGGACTTACGATTTCCATCTCACCAGCACTGCGCGCCACACTATTGGCGTGGGAAGCCTTTTTTTTTACCACCAACTCTGTGGCGTAGGGGGCAACATTTTTGTCTGTACGTAGTTTGTCTCCTGTCCAAGTCTGACTTGTTTGAGCAGTTAGGTGTCGTGCTGGGCTATGGCGTGGAACTCGGCTTTGAGCCCTCAGTGGATACTATTTAGGTTATTCGGAGAGTTTTTAGGGGTCTCCACCAACTTGGCTCTGTTGGTGATGGACTGCACTCTTTGGAAGTCCCACTTCCTATATAAGCATAAAGTGTTAAAACCCAAACTACATGTAATGTCTCGCGAAGAGTTTCCAACTGAGAGCATGGTCTCGCCAAAATAATAGAAACCCGTATCTATTAAATCGTACAGTGACAAACCTACGTTCGAAATGGTATATTTGGGATTATTAGTGTGTATGATTCGCACAGAACAGGGTTTTACAAATTGTTTAGACTATTTGCAATACTCTTGAGACACTATTACTACTGTAAGCTCTCTCCTCTTCAAAGAAATTATTATTGTAAATAGTTCTGCGTCCCCATCGACACAATTTAAATCACTTATGGAAAGGGGGGGGGGTAGGGGGTGTTTCAACCTTGGCTGTCAAAGCCGGACTGTTCAAATTGATCAGAACGCAAAACTCCAGAAAAAGGACGGATATGCATGAAAACACACCCTTCTAAGTGCGTGAATCGAACCAATGTCTTTTACGTGCAATGGCAAAGATCATCTTCACCATAGAATAGAGCCTAGACGATCTTGGACTTATTGTCTCAACTGCAAGAGGTGTATTACATTCCTCCACCCCCTCTCCCCCTCTCTCTATCTGTCTCTCCCTCTTTCTCTCTTTTTCTGTCTGTCTCTCTCTCGGTCTCTCTCTCGGTCTCTCTCTCGGTCTCTCTCTCGGTCTCTCTCTCTCTGTCTCTCTCTCTCTCACTTTCTTTCTTTTCGTCTTTCTGTCGTTTTCTCTTTCTCTCACTTTTTCT